CTTCGTGTGTATGTTCGGCAGACGGGGGGGGGGGGGGGGGGGGGGGGGGGGGGGGGGGGGGGGGGGGGGGGGGGGGGGGGGGGGGGGGGGGGGGGGGGGGGTGGGGGGTGGGGGGGGGGGGGGGGGGGGGGGGGGGGGGGGGGGGGGGGGGGGGGGGGGGGGGGGGGAAGGGGAAGGGGGCGCGCGTGCGCGCGCTCTGGCAAGGATCTGCTCGGAGGATGGACCGTGGTGTGAGCGCAGGATGGCGACGGTGACGGGGAGAGGGAGCGAGAAAGGGGGAGAGAGAAAGAGCCGGAGGGCGGGGGGGGGGGGGAGACCTACAAGCGAGCGTGCGCGATCCAGAGGCAGAGAGGGGGCGGGGGGGAGGGGGCTTTGCGTGGGCGCGCGGTGGTGTTGGTTGGGGAGGAGCGAAGAGGGGCAGATGTAGCTAAAAAAAGTGGGGGAGAAGGCCAGAAAGGGGAGGAGGGAGGAGGAGGGAGGTCTGTATGACAGTGGGGCGCGATCGGCCCCCCCCGCCCCGGGCAAGGGGCATGCCGATGAGTCGGGCTGTGGAACCCGGCCGGGTCCGGGGGAGGGGACCGCCGGTCGCCGGTCCGGCCGAGGCGCTGGCCGTTTCCCCCGCCCCTCGGCCGGGGGCCTGGGAGGAAAAAGGAGCCGGGCCGTCGTCGGCCACAGGGGGGGGCGCCGCCCCCTGTGCCCTCGGTGTACACAACAAGACGTGGAGGTCCGAAGGGGGAGTCTCTAAGTGGGGATGATGTGTGCGTGTGGATGCTATGTTTACGGGTGGTGTGGCCGCCACCGCGCCCGCGGGTTGGTGCGAGTGCGAGTGCGTCTGCAAGTGTCTGGGTGTCAAAGCGGACTCACGCGCACGCGCGCGCGCGCGCGCGCCCACGCACGAGTCCGGGCGAGCCCGGGCGACCGCCCATGCCGCGCGTGTGCTCCTCCCCCCCCCCCATCCGGGGAAGCAGCGGGGTGGCTGCGACTGCCGGCGGGCCGCCGGGGCGGCATTGGCATCTACAAGTTCTGAGGTGATACGGGGTTCGGTGTGGGAACGGCCCCTCGTGTTTAGGGGTAGTCCCGGGCCGCCGCTATTTTCCCCCGGCCAGAAACCGCCGCCGGGGGGCGCACGCGCGCGCGCGCGCGCGCGCGTGCTTGGGCTGCCACCCGCCCTCCCGGTCCACGTCCCCCCGCCCCCCCCGGGTCACCGTGGCAGCTCGGGTCGTGCAGTTACACCATCCTGCTCGGTGGTACCATCGCCAGCGGTGCGTGCCTGTATGGCGGGCGCCTGCCGCGCCAAGATCCTCGCACCGGGGCCTGCCTGGGTGGATGCCGGCCAGGGGCGGGCCGGGTGGGCGTTCGATTCCCCGCGGCAAGGGCGCGGGGCCGGGCACGGGTCGTCAATTGGCCCGCCGGTGGAGCCCGGCGCCTCGGCACTCCCCGCCCGCGTCCGGCTTTTCCGGGGAGAGGCTCCCGGACCGGTGCGCCCGCGCGAGCCCCCCCCTTCCCCCCCCCCCGACCGGGATACCCGATCTAGCAGGCACCTGCGGCGGCGCGCATGCCCCCCTGGCGGTTCCAGGGTGGCGGTTTTCCCCCGCCAGAGTGGATCCACGCGCCGCCCCGCGTGCCCTCCCTGGAGATTCGTCGGGAATGTG